AAATGCAATTAAATAAAATAGTCCGCAGTGGAAAAAACATTTTCTATTTTAAGCTTAGTGTCTCAATGTAATGCATTTTTCGATGTGTCCCCGCCACCATCAACATTTAATGAATATCGTACAGCGTATTAATTGTGTTCTATATGGGCAAATAAACGTATTTCCTGCGACCCGTTGGCGGGCTGTCACCGTTATCTCTAGAAAAATTATTGTGTTTTAGCTCTCAATAATTTTTTTTGAAATATTTTTTGCAAAATGTCTGGTTTTGCATGCTAATGTGAGATAGTATTTTCAAAAAAAAGTCTCGTTAACTTAATTTGGAAGTTAAAAAACTTCAAAATACTCGATTTTCAAAACCGTGTTTTTGAGTTTTAAATACTAAACAGGAAATTTTTTAATGTTAGTTTTATCAGAATTTACCTATCTTGCTTATTTTTTTATGTTATTGTTAATAAACCACTTAAAATATAATTATATAAAGTTATTTCAAACATTACCATATTAAAATAACTCAATATTGACTTTTTTTTTTTATTCGGTGTGTAATAACACAGAAGTTTTTTGTGAAATCAGAACTATCTAATATTGGAACAATTCTAGTTTAGCTCCCAAGTGAATATTACAAACTTTATGTGTTTTAAGTTGTAACGCCCTTTTTTGCGTTTTTAACGTCCTATTTGGATTATTTAAACTATAAGATCAAATACGTAATTTTATAATCTGGAAAACAAATTATATTCATATTTCTATTAATATATATTTATTTATTTAAAATAATATAAATTTAATATGAGTTAAATTATCGTCATAAATATATGAAATAAAAATGAATGGTAATCATAATATTATGTAAAAAACATCAGTCTTGCAAATAACCCTTTTGTGCTGCTCAATTTAATTTCCAACGAAAACTAAAATACATCTACGTAATAAATAATAATACTTAAACGTCTTAAACGAAATAGAAATTGTTCTACGATACCCATTTAAAATCAAAATAGATATAGCATGCAATTGTAGAAACAAAACTTATTATTTTGAGCAAGATTTTAAGAAATATCTTTTAGGTTGTATTTATGCATAAATTGAAGTCATCAATTTCATTATCCACGACCCCTCACTAATATTACATAGGTACCTAATGCTAGCCATGATTACATTGACAAATTAGAAGAGTTATTCGTACATTGTCTGTATTTTAACTGCATAGTTTGCAAATAAGGATAAATTGTACAAGGATGAATGAAACAATAATTTCAGTGATTAAAATTACGTGTACTGGATTTATGTAACCTAAATTAGGGACCTTTATATTAGCAACATTGTAGAATTTTATCACCACATGCCCAAAATTTTTTTTTAAATTATAACTTAATTTCGACTGAAGGTTTTTTAATACACAGTACACTTCTTTAAAATTACAACGGGTTACTTACGAAACTAAACAATCGTATTTTTTAATTTACCCACGAAAAATATACTATTGGTTTAAGTTATTTAAAACTATATTGATGTATAACTAAATGTGTATTTCATTTGTGTTTATTTGTTTTAATAAAATCGTTCCCATCGTTTTAAAATAAATGTATTATTTTTTTTTTTGAATAATCAATAATAAAATATAAAAAGCATCTATTCATTTTCACCCACAATGAATAATAACTACAAATATTTATTGCTTAAACTGTAGTTAAACTTTATCAATAAAATAATACAAAAAATATCTGTTTTATTTCTTATTTAGTCTTATAAAAGTCTTTAACATTTTTACGATCATTTTGAATAAATGTATAAGAAAAAAGTAAATATAATTTTTATTAATGTAAAATTACTATGTCTAAAAATATTCGTTTAAGTTGTTATTATTGTGAATATTTTGTAATTTGTATATAAGATTTGTTTTAGTGCTGAATATCTAATAGATTAAGAATATTTTTGGACTTTCGTAACGTGGTGACGATACATACAAAAATATTGATTAATTTTATAATTATTATTTTATATTATAAAACCTTCGTCATACAATCTATACAATAGTGTAAAACATTGTACCTATGTAAAAACTAAAATCACAATAAATGTAATAATTATAATTACGGAGGTATTAAAATAATCTTATAGGTACACGATCATTAAATCTGCACCGAAACTGCTTATTAGCATCTCTTAGTAGTTTTGCTATAGTATATTTTGAATAGGTAGTTGAATCAAAGCATACCTTGATCAATTACATATTAATATACATGAAGGATTATCTGTTTGAATCAAGGATGACATGCAAGGGTTAATGGATTTTGGTGTTATTATTATAGAACCGTTTGAAATGGATAATTATAACCGCTCTTGTTGATGGTTATAAATATAGTAATCTGTAATTAATTTGGTACTTTGAGGTAATTTGAGGTAAAACCAACAAAAACACACACAGATGGTTAGTAATTATATGCATATGTTTACTCCAATTTGTATGGAAATGAAATAGATTTACTATTAAATTTCTTAGGGTTTAGCTATTATTATAAAAAAAATAAAAATAAAAATTATATAATATAATATAAATTTGCATTATTATTTATTAAGCAATAATAGAAACATTATACAAATATAGAAATTTCACAATAGTAAAATTTACATTGTACTCTTTAGGTATATGTACTCTGTATATAAATATATAATGTAAATAATAGTATGATACAAACCTACTCATTTCCTATTTTAATTACCTTGAGGTATATGACATAATATTATGTATTTTTTTTTATTGGATAACCCGCGGCAACATAGGCCATTGGGTGAATATTATGTATTATATCATACTTTAAGTAAACCTAGGAAGGTATAATTAAGTAAATCAGTGGGTAATATAAATATTATGTAATAGATAATACACACGTTTTGAAATTAAATTTTTCAGGAAAATGAATTAATTTTTGTATAATATAATAGGTAGGTGTCTAGGTAAATACTTACTACTTTCTATGATAATTAAATTAAATTATAAGTAGCCTTTTTGAGTATTATTGGTCTGTTACATGAATATAAAAATTGTTTTTGTCCCACATAGTTCAATATATTATAGACCTTTACCAATACCAGCTATAGTTGACATTTTTCTTTTAATTTTCAATTAGCTATGTTGACCGTCATCATTTTTACTTATTGGTAAAATTATAACAATGATATTTTGTATTATTAATTAATGTTGGGCCAGAAAGAAAAAACTAACAGTTCGCTGAAATCATGTTGCTAAAATGCATTAAAAATTTGTTGATTTATGTTAGTCGTTAGATGTTCTTACCATTTCTATGCCTTCTTTAAATTTCAAGCCACATACCCATATACTCCATGAATACAATTTGTCTAAAGTTAAAATGTGAAATTGAAATAATATATTTTCTACCAATTATTACCAACATTTAGACCAAAATGAAAAACAGACAATTTAAAAATCAAATGTTATTTCTACGTACAATCATAATATTGATATTTTTTTTCATAATTTATTCATCTACAAATGTGTATTAGTTATTTATTATTTTATTTATTATCATAAACGCCCGTAGGCTCAAGTACAGTAAAGTTAACTTACATAAAATTACAAAATTGGCATAGTTTGAAACATTATAAAAATTTTAATCCAAGATGATATTCATTAATAGTTACAAGTAAATATAACAACCTACAATCCCAACAACAACAATAAAATATTAAGGAAACTTGGTTTAAGGTGGGACATCCTTACTTAAACAAATACAAGTCTTTTAATGCATTGCATTCTCTGGCAATAAGGTCAAGGGGATTATTATAAGCATAAGAATGGAATGGAATACTTACAACAATTTATAAATTATAATATATTACAATAATTAATAGGTATGTAATAATTTTAATAAAACATGGTTTTTCCATTGTGGATTAAAGCATAAATATCTAGATACATGGCTTTATTATCCATTAAATAATAATTTAATAACATTACAGTTAAAACTTTACTAATATTGTCTATTATTTTCCAATGGTGATCAAAATATGTTTAATGTTATCGTCCATCACAATCGTATAATTCTGAATAACTTAACAATAAATTTGATACCATAATTTTATTACTTGGGCAATAGGAACTTTTGGGAACTTATAATGTTTGTTCACTGATTAAAAACACACTATACCAAACGCCGAAGCATTTTATTATGTAATAAACCTATAATAATGCTAAATAAAAACTACAAAATAAATTAGATGTTTATTATTTTATTACAATATTTAATTTGTAAGAATAGTTTTCTATTTTAAAATTATATATAAGACAAATTTGCAAACATTAATATGTTGTTAGTACTTAGTAGCATACTTACAAGCATAAGGCAAGCTTAAACATCGATTAGGGGGACAAGAATAGATATTGTCTAATAAGCACAGATTATTATTATTATTATTATAGGTATAACAATATTTATAAAAAATAAATTTAGATAGAATTAGTTAAATATATTTTTTTTATAAACAACATTAGTCCAGTGTACCTATATTTTTAATTTTTAATAGTTTACTTACAACAAAATATTTGTTATAAATGCATGATTAAAGATAGGTGTTGAATACATAATAGGTACATTCAAAAACAATCCTACAATATTTAATTACACCATAGTAGGTACTTATATATTAGAAATTGGCATACCTATATGGCAATATTATATCTATGCATTTATTTTCTAATAAGTATCAATTATCTATTTATTTCGACGACTGTAAATTATAACTGTATACATTTTAAGCCCACCCTTACTAATTTTAATTGTGCATTACCCAGGTGATGTTCATATTTCTAGATGCTAGTCTGTTTTTCAGATGGAACACATATATTTGAGTCTTAATTTTATTGGGTTTCAACTTCATGATTTTGTAGTATGTTGTCACGTTTTTAAGTAATGACTCTAGTTTGGTTTCTAATTCAAAGTTTTTACATTGAACTTCTATCGCTGTATCATCGGCGTAAATTAAATACCTGGCACCTGGAGTGATCGTTTGGTCGTTCGTATAGATGTTAAAAACGATTGGGGCCAAAACACTGCGTTGTGGAAACCCATTCTTTGATTTCTCTTTTCAATTTTCATGCATCCCAATGTCACGTAAAATCTTCTATGCTGGAGTAGTTTTTTTATTATCCATGTAAAACCTTTGTCATTAGTGAGGTTGTAGATTTTATCTAATAAAATTCTATATCTGACCGTATCATAGGCTGCTGTCAGGTCTATTGACCCCTCCAGTGATATTTTTATTTTTGAAACCATTTTCAATAAACTGGTTCGTATTTAGTATCTGCCCTGTGTATGATTTAACATTCCTGAAGCCTGCTTGCTCTTGTATCAATTTATCGTCAATATGTCCTACTATGCGAATGTGAACCAATCGTTCAAATGCTTTATGTAAGTGATATGGAAGAGCTGTAGGCTGAAAGTTTGTGGGACTTGGATCTTTACCTGGTTTCAAAAGGGCTATTATGTAGGCTTTTCTCCAAATTGTTGGTAGTTTGTAAGTAGATCTAGTTTCATTAAATACCTCAAGTATCTATTGTTTGGTCTTGGGAGCAAATTTTTTAATTGGCTCTACACATATATCGTCCAGTCCAGTGACTTTCCTATTTTTAAGCATCTTATTGGCTTCGCTTGATTCTTCAATGTTGAATTGCTCTTTGAAGTGTCCATCTTCTTCATTTTAAGTTGTGTGATTTATCTTGGCTCTTTTTTGGTTTATTTCCATCTGACCTTTTCTATTTAAGAGATGTTAGATGTTGGTGGGCAATTTTATCTAGTGCAATTATGTTTTGTGAATTCCTTTGGTTTGGATCGTTGTTTAATTTCTTCATTAAGTCCCGGGCTTTTTGGTCACTAAGTTTATCCAATTTTCTCTTCTAATTGTACCTGTTGCTTCTGGTAACAATTCACCTTTATTTATAGTTTCTTATTCAAAAGTATCCTTCTCATACATTTTGGTGTATGTATGCATGTGTTCTATTAGTTCTGAAGAGAGACCAATTATATTTTACACGACGCCACATGCCACGATACAACACTCTGAGTTGTGATCCCGCCTTTATAGAAGAAGATAAAGCATGAAATAAGATATCATAGAAGAACAAATAGTTTGTCACGAAAGAAGTATAGATGGCATATAAATGTATTTTGTCATCTGCAGTGATAACGTGGAACTCTTGATTTGAAGCATGAATTAAGATAATATGCACTAGAAACGACGTGGTTGGTGAGTATGGGTAGTTCGGTCTGGTTTTTGTGTGGACTTTGTGTGGAAGGGGAAATTGTCAGACCACCCTGAACCCGATGGTGAATTATTAAAATTATAATTTTTCATAAGGATTTGCATAAATAACCTATATATAGCGTAAGACCATAGATAAAAGGTTAAACATATGTATTAGGTATAGGAATATCAGAGTTAGACGACAGGATAAAACAAGTTACCCAGATGGCACTGTATAGATGGGCACAGATGTCCAATTTCCTCTTTTACAGAATATCCACAAGCAAACAGGGCCACCGATAAGAATATCGTTTCCCATCTTTTTATCTTAGTTCATTGTTGAAGTTAGATCTAAATCTCAAAAATTTTCTTTTTATTCCAAGCTGTTTAATTTTTTCTTTTACGATTTTCTTAAACTATACTCTATCTCTTTCATATTATACATATTAATATATCTAAGATCAATCTTGTCTAACAATTTTGGTCTCACGGAGACATAGATGTGAGACGTGAGGGAAGCCATTTATTAATATGTCTATATTAACCCTTATATATTAACGAAAATACCTATTTATTTATCCATGGTTTATTCTAATTTTCTAGAAATTCTACCAAACATGCGCAATGATAGAAACCATTTATTTTCGGTCCATGCCTATATTTCATTTAGCTATGGTTAAAATTTAGAACTACAAAAAATGTAAAATTATACTTACTTTGAATTTGAATTTCTCGAAATAAATTAAATACATATATGACCTAATATTTACTATTTAGTAAGCTACGTGTGTTATAAATATAGTAAGCTGATTTTTTTCTTTATAAACTTCATTTTCCATTATAGTTATTTTTAGAGTTTTTAAAATCAATATTATTAAATTTCAAACCATTTCTGTTTTTCATAACATTGGAACAATGAAACTATTTGGTTTGCAAGTCACGCAATTCGATACTATTTTAGAGTTTTCTTTTAATACATTTATTGAATATTATATTATAGAGAGGAAAAATCTATGTTATATATCTAATAGTTCGCCAAATGTCTAATATTATAATTGAGTTTCTGTTATGAAAATTAAAAAAAAACAAACTGAATTAATATAATAAATGTTTGCAAAAATAATTATTTGATAGTTTAATGTATATACTATATACTTAGTAACGTCTGCGGTCTTTTATAAAAACAACTCAATACCTAAGTATCTCAGTAGGTTGGTACCTAACCTACATAATGCATTTACATTGTTTATAGGTAAGAAGTCTCAATTGTCTCATTAGTTTACAGTTTAGTTCAGTGATAAGGGACATTTTGCTTTTATTCAGCATTGTATTATTCTATTAATAAAACTAAAGTATACACGAAAATGTTCAGGCGTGCATCCTAATAATATAACTTATATCATTTTCTAAAAATACAAAGTGAATCACCTCGATTATGTTTTTGATATGACATTTAGACATCAAATATTTGATATAGTATTGAAATTACTAATTACTAATTAGATAATCGAACTGATATTTACCTAGTACATTGTAGGTAACATTGATTATAATATGATTAGGTATGTAGGTACCTATGATTTTACTTATTTAATATATTCCATTTCTACATTATTTACGTAATATGTCATATTTTTTGTAAGTTGTAACTATTATAATATATTAATATATATTATAATATTATACTTAAAATTACTAAATTGAGTTGATAAAAACACGTCTTATAATACCTAATTAAAAACATATTGATGGTTTGATTTTCTTTTTTAATGTGTTGCTACCTATAATGAACATTTAACAAAATAAAATTTAATTTGTATTATCAAGAAATAGGCTATAAAGAGTATGAATAAAATGAATGACAAATATTTATGTATGACGGACATTGTATTAAATCGAATATTGACTTAAAGCAGAAAGAAAATTCATATACGTATTATTATTATTATTATTATTATTATTAGTGAATTCAAGTTGACATATTGTCATTGGATACCTAAGGAGTATTTATTTTAATACAAATAACAGTTCAATAAAAAAATGATTAGATGAAATTTCGGATAAAATTGACTTCTATATACACGGCCCGCGGCCGTAAAAAATATCTCGTGTATACACTTTCATAGATAAATAAACAAAACTGAAAATATCGAACTAGGTTACCGTAAATACAATAGCAATATTTTTTCTCACTGACATACCTACAACTGAGTTACAACTCAAACTTTCCGATTGCAGAGAGTATATTATTAGTTTCCATTATTTTTCACAAGCGTCTAGGGAGAGAAAATGCCGAATGGCATTAGGTTCTTATCACTTACCTTCTCATACATTTATTATTATTGCTAATTGAGATTAATAATTCTACTTATTTTCGATTATTACTAAATGCTACTAACTATATTTAATTTAATATTTATTTTATTTTTTGAATAATTACCAAAATGAAATAGTAATAATATTAATTTAATATCCATCAGATGAATAAAAATGTTTGGTTTTTTTAACTGAACATTTATTTGTATAATTATTTTATGAATTATGAATGTATATTATTGTGTATTTGTAATATTATTATTGATTAGTTATTTGTATGAACTATGAATTTTTGTTAATATTTGATTTTATTATTGTAAATTTAATTGTTAGGGTAACTCTCACAAGTTTCACAACTTCTATTCACATGCTACTAAAAAAATAAAATTAAAAGTCTAAATAGAATAGTATAATACATACTTGAATAATACCTTCTTGTATCCAATAACCATACTATAGCATTAATCATCAATAGGGCTAGGGACTTCATGCCCTAAAAAATCTTAAAATATGTACGTAGTTATGCCCTGAGGAATCACTTAATATGCTATTAGCATATGCATTAAAAAAAAAAAATCATAGTATTGAATAAAACCTTTTTATTTTAATATCTAAATAATAATTTCAAAATTATAAATTGTAATTTACAATAAAAGTCTTGTATATTAATTATTAACAAACAATCAATTTTCTTTTCCGATTTATTTTCATCTTACATTGAGTTTAAAAGGTTCTGTCAAACAGAAAGCGTTATTTTTAAGTCTCGTGATTTTGTAATTAACGCGGTGTTATTCACGAGCGTGAATGCAACACGCCGACGATCCATTTACCGCTTATAACGCATTCTGTTTGACAGAGCCTTTAAAGAATCACGAGTGTAGTGTACCGATAAGTAAAAATGCAAATGATTGGTGAGGAAAACAAACACTAATTTTAAAATATTTATTTTCTAAAAATCGTTATACTAATATCTCAGGTCCAGGAATTCTATATAAATAAATCAGGTTTGTTTTTATTAAATTATAAACCTACACCTATGTATAAAATAAAAATAAAAATCTATTACGTTGTTTTATCTAAAATTTCTAAAATTACCCAAACGGTATTCTCTCGGCATATATTAGGGAATATATAACATCATCATACAGTCATCATTTGTCATAATATACTAGAACATTGTATTTTACATCTAGAAAATCGACTTTGGGAGAAAGTGTGGGTAGTAAACGTACTTGGGGTAGGTTGCATCATGATAATATTATAATAATAATAGTGCGTACCTATGTAATTTGGGCCAAAAATAGTCAAAAACGAAAAAAAAATTTTTTTTGCGCCTCGTCTAAAAATTAATTTTAGTCGTTTGTCCCACATAAAACTAGATAAAAATACATTATGCAATCTACGAAATCATTTATTACAAAAATTGTAATTTACACCACTTTAAAATAATCAATAATAATTTTTTTAAACTTATACGTAATATGAATTTTATTTTATTGTATTTTATTCATCAATCACGTTAATTTTAACTTTTAAAGGGAACGCTGAATTTTTCATACGTTTTAGACCAATAAGCGGTGGTAAACTACACGTCATACTTAGGAATGTCCGATTTTAATTTATTATGTAATTATGAACTCTTTGACTAAATATCTAGGAATTTTAGGGAGTCAATTTTTAATTTTAAAGGCCCTTAAATTTCCGATTTTTTTTTAAA